CATAAAAGTTTCATTGCACATGGAATTCCAAACATGCAAGATGTCTTGTGTAACTGTAGATTAAAACTACTTTATATATTATTTCCTCTTCTTCTCACGCCCCTCCTCATCTATATTTTTTTCTCTCTCTCTTCTTCCTCACACCCACTTTCATTCTTTTTTCTTCTTTTGTTTTCTTCTTCCTCACTCCTCTTCTTCTCTTTAAACTAGTACAGTATTTCGGTCCCTTATAAAAAGCAGTTTTGAATTAGAATTCAAATTATATAATAAAGAAAAGATCGGGTCATTATTAATTATTAAATATGATAATAAAAAAAAAAATATATATTATTGAACACTTACTTACCAAATGATATCTACTTCCTACATAAATCTCGAATCTTGAGAACATCACCACCCATAAATAGGGTCACATCCTTTGATGTGGGTATTCGAACTTCACCTAATAAAAAAAATATATTGGATTAGCCGATCAAAACAAAAAAAGAAATGTCGAATTATTTATTGAGTTTAATTATATTAAAATTAATGAAATATCTTCTCATTCCTTCCCACGGTACATTTGCATTATGAGGACAAAATGTTCTTCTTGATTTTGGTAATGATGCTCAAAAGCAATCAAATGGTACATATTGACTCCAAAACGTAGAGTTCTTCATGTTTTCCCTACACAATGTCGAAAAAAATTTAAAAGGCATTTGTTCTTCCAATTATTTGGTGATTTTTGGTGTTCGCTTTATTATTTATTCATGTGATAAGTAGAATACTGATATTTGTTCTTCCAATTATGAGGTGATGATGATTCATTGTGCGACATTCTAGGATGGAGCTTAAAAACTACAATAAGGGCGAGTATACTTCAATAATCCATGGTAAATTTTCTCATGGGAAGACTAACAATTTCGCTTTTTCTTAATTCATTTTTCAAAAGTTTAAAGATTGGGGTTTTTTTTTTTTTTTAAATGAGCAAGAGCCTTCTCTTCAAACTTACCGAAGGATCAGAAGCAAATATCATTTGTAAATAATACTATTTCCTGTAGACATATTCGATTCATTTTGTTATATCTTCTACTAAATCTGGAGGTTTCTAATTATAGAGAAGTAAAAGAGATAAAGTTATTGCATTTGATTAAAGTATAAAGAGTGGAAAAAAGGTGATTTTCTCTCCCCATACACTAATCCTATTTGCCTCGAGAGGATAATTTAGATTTTATTTCAAAATGTCTTGTAAGAACATGTTTCTTAAGCTGGAGATTATCTTGTAAAGATGAGATCGAATCTTTAGTTTGTTAAGTATATGAACCTAAAATAAGATGAATGTGTATGGTGGGTTATGCATTTGTTTACTTTGACAATTAATATGATAAAAAGTAGTTATCCATGTTTACNCAACATACGTGCATTCAAACTTGATATCATGAGATTCTCTAGTTTTTCTTCTTTTATTTTCATTAGTAATGATATTTTTTTTTTCGTCTTTTACATACACCCGTGAACCCTTTTGTAAAAGAAGACCAAACATGATTATTGATAAAAGAATGCATCTTTCATTGATAAGAGAATGAATCTCCATGCTTTTTTTAAATCTTGTAATGCATATTGATTGGAAAACACAGTTTTGGAGAACACGATGAACCGCGTCCCTCAAAAATCTACTATCCGCGGCCGAGATCTTGCCAATACATACGAAAAGTTTATCTCAACATTGCAAACACCAAGAACATTTACAAAAATAAAATTTTTTCAATTTCTGTCACGTTGGTGCAATTTTCTCGTCATGCTCACAATAATGTAGGTTCTATCTAGTGCTCCCAAACGTCCCTGCTTAACATCAATCATACTTCATTAATTCCGGCCAAGAATGTGGTGAAGTCTAAGAATTTTTTTTCCCACTAACTTGAAACCACTTCCACCTTCAGTCTGTGCATATGTCGTCTATTGGTTAAGCTATCAGCCAGATATTTTGGGCCTTTCGCTATTTTGGAAAAAATTGGGGTTGTTGCGTATAGGTTGGATTTACCAGAGGGTTCAAAAATCCACCTTGTTTTCCATATGTCATTACTCGAAAAACACTTAGGAAAGGGGTTGTTACTTGAAGGGGAGCTTCTAGCCATGGATACAAATGGAGGCTTCAAGATCGAACCTTTATCAATAGAAGGCCGCCGGGTGATCCATCGTCACCAACAACTAGTTGAACAGATCTTGGTTCGCTGGGCAAGAACTGGGCGCACTCTACCTCTTGTGAAGATTTGAGCTTTATCAGCCAAAAGTTTGCCTCTTTCAATCCTTGTGGACAAGGATCTCTTTAACCGAGGGAATATGTTTTGGACTTAGGGCTTGAAGGTGGATAATCAGTATTGAAGGTTGAAGAAAAAGAAATTAGGGTTCTAAGATGTTAGAAGGCAATTGAATAATTAGAAATGGAAGAGGAAAAGGTTTTTTCGATACAAAACGGAATGGCTTGACACGTGGCAGTCAATCCGGGGGGACCAAAGGACATGTGTTAGGAACAAAATGGGTCGGAGGGCTTGACGTGGCAGGTGGTGTGGCCTTGGTTAAGAGCATTAATTAATAGCATATGTTATTATTACTAGTGCATATCCCATGCGATGCACGGGGTATACAAATTTGGAGAATATTATAATTTGACATGCATTAGGATAAATGAGAGTTTAATACATACGAACATTATTCAATCATAAAATGTTCATCACAAAAAAATCTTATATTATTAAAAAAATTTATGTACACAACATTATGAGTTAGATTATTGGGTAACTCGTTGTGATGAGCATGGGCCAGACGTGGGCTGCACAAAGGGCTACGAAAACTGGGCCTCACACATCTGGGCTCTCTTGCTGGGCTTCTCTTCTAGGCTGCAGATGCTGATTGCTATGGCCGAAAAAATTGCCCCACATACTTGGACAACTTTTCTTATCTCTAACTATACTATAAATTATATTTGATTCCAAGTTTAAAAATTTTCCATTCCTATTTTATGTAGATAGTTATTTTGTATTCCCAGCTATACTAATAAAGCATGTTTTTAGTTTGAACCATGTAACTTTCTTAACAGTGAGTTGAATAATTTATAAATAGAAATATAATTTAATGATTCCCTCTAGTTTCTCTCTCGTCTCCCCTCTTATTTCATATTCCTTATTTCACAATTTTCTCCAAATAAAACAAAAAAATTACATACAACAATTATTAAGTTGACCATCAAATAAATCAAAATAAGACTACGTAAACTTTTCCTTAATAATTTCTATATTTTTTTTAAATAAAAATTGTAATGTTTCAGGTTCGACATAAAATTGGTTTTTGTTTTTTATTAATTGTTTATGAATAGGCTATCTATCTTAATTTTTGTTCAAGGTTGGTTTATTTTTTATTTGTATCATCAGATATATCATGTTAGTCACCATTGGACAAAAGCTCATATGATGTGATGATAAATGTGCATTTAGATTTTAACATATACAACATAAATGTAAAAAATACAGAGAATATACTAACGCTAACAGTTGCACAACAATTAGAAAAATGTGATTTTCTTAATTAAATATTTAGGATAAATGCATTGTCAAATCATAAAATTCCTCAAGCAAGGAGTTCGCTCTTATATACCATTCGAGATTTCAGTGCCAATAATTTGCATTGTTCCAACTTCTCATTCATCTTAATGGTATAGAAAGAGCCATCTATTACGCTTAAATTAATGGAAAGAGAAGACAATTTCAATGATCTATCCTTATAGGGAGATTGAGATTGATGTATATGTGTAATAAAATATCACCAATATTACAAAATTGATATTTGGAAAACCTGAAGACATGGAAAGCAACAATAGTATCACAATATATGTGCACGCCCGGGCTTCCTCGCGCTGGGCTTCTCTCCTGGGTTGCTTCCACACTGGGCCGCGAGCTGAGGACGGACGCAAGCGTGTTGGTTTGAACTCAGCTGATCGTTTTTTACGGTGTGGGAACAGCAACGCGGTGGCCGTTTTTTACGGCGTTCAACTCCTCGGCAACCGGGAATCAAAACTCGACATAATTTACGAAAAATATAATTTTTTAGAGGTTCGGGAATTTACCAAAAAAAAATGGGATTTTGGCTTGGAAAACAAAACAACAACTCAAGGCACGACTTACGTTGGATTTCCGAAATAAATTCAGCCCCTAAATTCAAATGACGAACTTGGCATGGTAAAAAAGCTCAGATTTTCAATTCGTCTTGAAACGGAAAATAAAGGCTCGACTAACTAAGAACAACGACCAACATAGCATGAATTATACTCGATTTTTTCTGAACTTAGCTAAGGTATATCATTGTTGGGAAGTAAATTTTCATTTCACGGAAGTTGTACAGAAGTGTAATTCACAGATTACATCTTATGGGTTGAACTACGTTAATAAATAGGATTTTGCAATAAAAGGAACGTTGATCTGTGTCTTATGTTCTAAAACATATGTAAAAGTACATAAGGAAAATGAAAATTTCTGGTTTTGAGAAACTCCTTAATGTACAACGCACATCTCATTAGCAGTGCGAGTTAGACTTTAAGATAAAATTACAACTCAAATGTTACCTAGGTGATGTTATTGGGCGATAGATCTTTCAGAGACGCTCCACGAACATCAAGATACGCAGCAATAGCTACATCGCTATCAAAACATAAGAAAAAAAAGGAAATATAACTGTCAGTTTCCAATTCTGAGGAAACCCAATATTTTAGAAAGATGTAAACAAAACTAAACCTCCAAGATTATGAAAAAGATGACCTAAAGATTCCAAAAATCTTGTGCCGGTTTCTTAATCATTCTTATTTTTTAATGAATCTCTTTTACCTCCATTTTATCTAGTGAAAACATGAAATTATATTCGAATTTTTTCTTAAGGTTTCGAGGGTTTACCATTCGCCGGTCGAAGGAGAAGAATCGGGCAGGTAAACCTTGATTTTTGGTCGTTGAAATTTGTCTCGTCTCAGCCGCGGGAGAATCCTCGACTCTACCGTGGAAGAGGCCCGCTCCTGTTGATGGAAGAAGCCTCGACCATAGCCAGACGTGCTCGAAACCTGCTCAGCCGCGGCTGCTTGCTCTCGCTGCTCCAGCCGCGGCGTTCTGTTTCAGCCTGGTGCTCTCGCCGAAGCCTGGTGCTCTACCTTTGGGTGATCTTTCTCGCCAGTGAAACTTCGGCCGGAAAACTATAAATAAAATTGGGAAAGGAAGAGAGAAGGAGAGAAGATGAAGGCTTGTAAAAATATTTAATGAATCTGGACATTGGGTTGTTCCGATTTTTTAAAGTGAAGGAGAAGATTTTTGTAACCTTGGAAATCGAGAGAAATTAGGTGAGATAAGGCGTGATGTATGGGCGGATCACTTAATTTCTGGGGAGATATGGAGGACCAATTTGCCTACTTTCCTGTAAAAAAAATAATAATAAAATGCCACAATTTAAGGACAACAGTTAATGTTGTCCGATTTTTATTTTTTTTTCTAAAAATGACTATAAATGACATGCTATTAATGTTGATAAGGTTTTGACTAAAAATTGACCTGCCATTTTTAAAAATTGTTAATTCTTATTATATATATATAGATGTTAGATACCATTATGTATGCATTGCCCATTGTAGTGGAAAATGTCTACGTAGGACCAAGTTTGTTAACATGCGTGTGGAATGAAAAAGGGTACGAATTAACAGCTCAATTTATCTCTCTATCTCCTCTCACTGTCTCTTTCTAAACTTCATCTTCTTCCTCCTAATTCATCTACAAATTACAGTAAAAAAAATTAAATAAAAATATACAAACATCAATCACAACAAAGATTAAGGGCAATTTTGTCTTTTTAACTCCGATAATCAACTCAAAATCAAGATTAGTCATCCCAGTTTGAGGAGATTATTTATCCCTTCATATTAAGACTATCTCCCTAATAACACCACCCCCCCTCCCCCCCACCCCTCCCCGAATATTCGACTGGCCTTAATCAATGAAAGCAAACTATGGATTAATAAAGGGTAAGTGGGGATATCCCATTTAAGGAAGTATTATATTACAATCCATCATAGTTCCATCATATTGTGCCCGAAACACCACTTTATCCATGAAGATCACAATTGAACACCTTAAAAATTTTTACTACTATAGGAAGGTAATTGAGGGCAAAAATAAAATATAAAAGAAAAAAACACTATAATTTGCAGAAGAACACCTAACAAATTTTTGCTACTGTACGAAGGTAATTGAGGGCAAAAATAAAATATAAAAGAAAAATAAACATTGCAATTTGTAGAAGAACTTCTCAATCTCATACACACTTGCAACACAATCCTAATCTTTTTACCTATGTTCTAAAACTCTAGACCACTCGGTCTAGGTACTAGGCAGTATCCAAACGCCGTGACTTTTGCCTTGACGACTGTTCTAGACGTTTGGATAGTTGGGCGCGTTTAGGCGGACTAAGTGGTTGAGAAGTTACTTGTGCATAAGCTGATTAGGCGGCGCCCATATATTTTCTTTTTAAAAATTTTAATTTATTTTTTAGAAAAATATAAAGACATAAATTTTATGCATGAATTTTATGTTAGTTATAGAAAAAATATCAATAATTGTTCGATTATATTGATTAGATTACAGTAAGAAAAATTAAATAACAACTTTTAGACATTGCTTTTAACTATTTTTCACCCAACCAACGTCGAGAAGGAAAAATAAAAAAGAAAATGAAATGGTAAAAGATAATCCAAAAAATACCCACCGTAAATCCTTCCTATTGAAAGGTGTATTAGGCTGTGTTTGGTACATAAATAAGCTGGCTTATAGCTTATTTGGTTACCTTATAAGCTCCCTATTTTTAAATAAGCTCCGTTTGGTAGGACGAGCTTTTTGATAAAGCTCGAGCTTATTTGATAAGCTTCTTTGAGTAACTTTTCAAATAAGCTCGTTGATATTTTTATTTCAGATAGCTTATCAGCTAATTTTTACCAAACACTTTTATCATATAAGCTAGCTTTTCAGCTATAAGTCATAAGCTAAAAAATTACTGATAACGTATAAGCTAGCTTATCAGCTATCAGCTAGCTTATTAGCTAGTTTTACCAAACATAGCCTTAGTTTGAGATTTCGAGGGACATTTTAAAACTTTTTTAAGTTTTGGAGAATCATGTAATTTAATTAGGACTTCTAAGAACTTTTTAAGATTTTAGAAATCCTAATGTATTTAATTTAGATTTGTTATGACATTTTAAGACTTTTAAAAACCCTGGAATATTCAATTGGGATTTTAAAAAGTCTTACAAAATCCTAACGTATTTAATTTATTTGGCACTAGGATTTATTAAGACTTTTTAAGATTTGGTTGGATTTCTAAACAAAAAATCTTATACGAAATCTCACTTCAAATCCTACCTCCCGACTTAAGATTTCATAGAATTCTTCCAAAATCTGAAAATCCTAAAAAGTCTCAAATCTTAAAAAGTCTTAAAATGTCACTTAAAATCCAAATTGAATACATCCCTTTATCTTAAGTTCGGAGGTGAGATTTTTTGTGGAATTTTGCCTTTAGCAATCCCAACGAATCTTATAAAGTCTTAACAAATTTTAGGCTCAAATAAGTTAAATATCCAACGATTTTGTAAGACTTTTCAAAATTTCAAATACCCCGAGAATTTTAAAACTCTTAGGGGGAGATTGTATATAGATTGTACAGTAAAATCATTAATCAAAACTCAAATTTAACTCAACTCCACTATCTCCAATATTACCAATATAATTAAATAATGTCAACCAATCATTCTTATACATCACATCAACTTTAATTCACTATTCATTCACTCACATAATTTTAACAGCAGCTCCAATGCTGCGCTACTCTAGCGTAATACGCTAGAGTAGAGATAAAATTGCTCTCCAACGCTGCGCTACATTTCTGCATTACTCTAGAGTTATGAACAGTATCGCGCTACATCTGGCGCGGTACTATTCATTACTCTACAATTTTTATTATTTTTTTATATTATATGTAATTGATTTATCTTAAACATTATTATTTGATAAAATTTGTACCATATTTATAATTTAATCTTAGAATTATATGAAAATATTATTTTTAAAATTTTTATATTTATATTGAATTCCTATAAAATAAATCAAATAATATAAAATAATAGTAATTATTTGTCCAACAATATTTTAATCTTGTATTAGACCAACTAACATCATGATATATTTATTTTATAAAATAATATGTTCAATTAAATAATATTTAACATGTTAGATAAATTAAAATAATATGAATAATATATATGTAGAGTAAAATGTAGCGTGAACGGTTGGAGACTAAATTTGATTTTTGTTTAGCTTTACTCTAGAGTAGAGTAAACTTTATTCAACTTTAATTATTTTATTTTAAATATTATTTTAATATATCTTCTAACAACAAACTATACCACATTTTTTCAAACTTAATTATAGTTAAAAAAAAACCAATTTTTTTCTAGTTGAATTCATAACCGATCACCCTTTAACAAGTCTAAATTAAACACACCGTTATTTCTAAAGTTTTAAAAATTCTTTAGAAATCCAATTGAACACACTCCCTTAAAAATTTCAATTTCATGATAATAGTCGAATTTTACCAATAACTGAATTACATAAAAATTAGTAAATTATTCCAAGTTTTTGTTCATCATTCTGAATTATCGGATGTGTTTTTTCGTAGAAAGAAAATGAATATAATCTTGTGATAAAAGTTCAGAAGTTTGTAGAATTTTTGCAGCTTCACCCCGCTGTGCTGTCTTTTGTAGTTGAAGTATCAAACGAAAGGAAGTATTTGACATTTCCTGTAAATTCATAGCTCTTTTTGTAATTTTATTTTTTAATTTTTTTGCTTCCTGCTTTTCTGTAGCCGTGTAATAAAGAAAAATTCACAGAACTCAGCTAATAAAGAACGCCATTGCCAATTTTCTTTTGCAAGCGTCTTCTCTCTAACCCTACCTTGTCTTGTCTGTTCTCTTCTTTTGCCTGTATTTCCTCTCTCTTAATCGCTGTGGAGAATGTCGTTGTGGAATTAGAATTGATCTTAACCTCTACAGAACTCGGATTTCCAGCGAGGTAAAGAGATTTGCTCGTTTTGTGTGTGTGCTTCCTGAGGAATTGAGTGGGATTTCGGTTTGTTTCAGATCTGGTAATGCTGTAAATTGGCGTGCTTGCTGATAACAGAAAGATGAATCTGGCCTGAATTGTGTGGGAGTTCGATCGGGATTCGAAGAGTTTGCTTGAGCGCATGGACATGGACATGGACGGGAGTGTAAGATCAGGAGGCGTTTTGAAGAAGAAGAGTTCATCAGGGTGTTTGATCATCAAAAAGAAGGTTGAAAACGGGAGTTATGGAGTTGGGGGTTCGAACATCAATGGTAATGAGAAAAAGAGACCCAGGTTAGTTCCGAGTGATTCTGATGTGAGTGATGAGGACGAGGCATTAGAGTTTGTGAGAAGGAAAGTCAATGACAAGAGACTGTATGAAGGTCCAATGGGGTATGACAGAAGTGATCTCGGATACAGGAAGCTTGTTGGGATGAATGTTGATGGTGAGAGGAAGAGGAGTAGGTCGAATTTGTATGGATTTGATGACTACAATGAATTTGATGGGCAAAGGATGAGGGGCGAGTATGCGGAGAACAGGTTAAGGATTGCTGGGCATAGTGGTGGTGAAAATTCAAAGGATTTTGGTGTTGGATCATCTCATAGGAATTTGAATGTTGACAAAAGGAAGAAAAATTCATATTTTGATGGTCCTAACGGTGGGAGGAGGAGTAATGTGGGTGATCATGTTGGTTTTAGAAATAAAGGATCCGAAATGGAGGAGGATGAAGCACGTATGCCAGTTTCATTGGCAAGGGCAAAGTATCAGCAAACATCTGATGAGCCAATCAGGCTACAGGGAAAGAATGGGGTGCTGAAGGTTATGGTGAATAAGAAGAAAAATATGGATTTACATCCTCATTATAGGAAATTTGACCACAGGAAAGTGGAAGAAAGCGGTTTACATCCTCACAATAGGAAATACAGTCCTAGGGAACATGAAGAACTGCCTGGTCCTAGGTCGAGAGATGTTCTAAAGAAAGAATTATCACCAGCATTGGCAGTTTATGTGAAGCCACCCGAACACAGAAGCTTGTCGGTGGAGAAGGAGAAGATGCGGGTG